GTATAAGCACACCTTCATATAGTCACACCATTTCATGGTCCTGAGGGGTGTGATTATAGAGGGGGTCGACTGTATATCATATTATAAACCAGTTTAGCCGAAAGCGTTGTGCATATGTATGTAAATAAAAATTAGCCCTTCTTTGTATTTTCGATACTGCAGGAGATTATTTAACTATTAAGAAGAAAAATTCACATGTTTTTGGATGACAGGCCTCGCTAAAATCTGCTAAAAATTTTCATTTACTTTGGGTAAAGGAAATCTCCCGCAATCCTTAGACAAGGAAGGGGATAAAAAATGAATTTGAGTTTAGCAATATGTAGTCTTACTAAATCGACTACAAATCGATAAAGTTGCTTATAAAAATGAATATAGTTTTATTATAGTATACTATTGCTAAATCAACTAAAATCAATAAAATACTTTAAAATCATTATAATCTGTTATAATCTACTAAAAAACATTATTATAGATTTAGATAGTAGAGCCTATTCTAAACTAATTTGTGAACACAATACTCATAGAGGCTCTGACAATATGATTATGAAACACCAGAAATGTGGTACTCTCAGATTCGTGATCTATTTAGGAAAATACTAAAAGAGAACCCAAGAATCCTTTTTAAGAATGGATATATTATAATATATGAAAAGTTATATGAAAGTGATAAAGTCCACGGTCTTCCAACCAATTATATATATTGTAGTGTATGTGATTCCTTAGTTTTCATATCTGAAAATGGTCGTAATGATTATTCCTATCGAGATAACCACTTGAAGAGATGCATTTCTGGAAATAGTATTTCGAATAAACATGCAAGAAGAAAAAAAATTCTCAAATCTATTGATAGAAGGGAATTTGAAATTTGGCAAAATAAACAATACATATTACGAGAAGAAGCAAAAATTAATCATCTTTGTCTAGAACTTTTTTCCCAATCTACCCCACACTTAGAAAAGGATAAGTTGGCATCGGTATCATATGGGGCCTTTGCAATAGAAAGGGGGAAAACTGCCGGAAAAATAAAAAATGAGTTAATGCAAAATTTGAACATATTTCAGCCTAAAAATCATATTTGGCATATAAAAGTAAAATTAATTTTCCCGGCAGTTTCCCCCTTTCTATTGCAAAGACCCCATATGATTATAATGGAAATTTTATGGCTAGCTATGAAAATTATGTACAATCTAAAGCAATCATAGCAAAAAATACTATGCCAAGTGCTCCAAATTTCAAGCCAGCTTGTATTTCACCTGCCAGGCAAGAAATAATTTCACCAATTTCTTATCAACCATCAAATTGCAAAAGTGATACAGGCGAAATATTTATCTCGTCTCTGTATGCAAAACAGCCAAAAGGCACTGCGTTGTGAGGGATGGAACACTAATCACGATTGTCTAACTGACTGATTCCGAGAAATATTCTACATTACTTTCTTGACATATAACTTAATAATAATACATATTTTATCATTAGAATTTTTTTTCACTTCGCTTCGCCACAATGTATGTAGGAGAACAGTGTGCGAAATAAATAAAACGTGCTTATGATCCTCGTTAAAGCGTATATGATGTAATAGGTGATACTCCGCAAATCATCTGTAACTCTGTGTGACAAAATAATTTCACGTAACTAAATTTGGTCAAGTTTAATGGACTCGGATATCTGATTTTTTTTATTCCTCTTTTCAACTTCGCAATAATAAAATGTCCATACACAAGTATTTTAATCGTAAACATACCGAGTGGAGGGAGTATCACCGGGTTTTTAAATGAAAGCAACGAAGAACCGTTCCAGGTAAAGATTGGCTTGTATCAAAAAAGCCTTGAGACAATTTACGACTATGAATATGGAAAGAGGCAGGAGATGACACGGTTTCTCCTCGATAAATATAGGAAGGCGAGTAAAAAATATTTTTTTTTTTTATTGAATATAGTTAAAGTTGCGTGGCAGGAATCTTCAGGCTTCCTTGTCATTCACGTCTTTAGGCTGAGCAACAAAACCAGTACTGGGGTACAGGTGATCTTTAGGCTCGCCTGATGTTTCAAGTCTTTAGGCTGAGCCAGTGCTGGACCCATTAAAGCACAGTTGATCTTTAGGCTTAGCTGATGTTTGGATGGGATGAAAATCAGACGGAATTTTTGTGCGTTAGTTGATAATATTGTTAATTACCCTAATATTATATTGCTAGGAACCTAAAACCGACCAAGAAATAGTAAGGAAGTGGGAGAATGAGCGTACGCATAAGCAGGAACACATCCATCAACCAACAATAAATGAGACTGTAAGTGGTACAATAGGAATAGTTGGAACTGGAACTATTAGCGGAGGGACTTTTGGTGTTGAAATATCAAAAAAAAGAGATCAAGAGGTAGATATATTTTTAGTTGGGAAAGTGTAGATTGGCAGAACTAATTATTTATATTTTAATCCTTTAGGACTATCACGAGGAGTTGCAGAGAAAACAAGCAAGAATAGACGGTGAGAATCTTCAACCTATCTATAACATTCAAATTCCTCCTCCACGCGTTGTCACTCCTTCCCATCCACCACAAACACCTGAATATCAAATATTTTCTTCGAGTTCCATCGTTTCTCCCACCACAAGAAGTGAAAGTGACGAAGATGATTTTAATGCAGATAACCGAAACCTCAGGAATCTTACATTCAATGAATATGTAGATGGTGATGACGCGGATGATGATGATGATCGAGAGAGAGTTTTCTTGGACGATTCAGTTACCTTTGATGAACGCGGTAAAGACAATCCCGTGAGTTTCTTTCTTCTCGTTTCTACCAGTTAATATGTTTTAATCTTTGCTAATAAGAGTCTTTGCAATATATAGTATATGTTTCAAGAGAAGAATATATCTGCGCTATTTATATTATATCGCTTAAAAGCATGGCAAATGGCGCGAGAATCAGGTTTATCTATCGAAACAGACTACCGTGAGATATTGTAAGTTTGAATCTTGAGAGCATATTCTCATGTATGAATTATCAAAAACTTAACACTATTCATTTGGAAACATTAGGAGCTTATCGCATATTTATTGTTACAAGCTGATAATTTCTCGGATCTGCAGATTGGACAATTTTCCGGTGATACTCTAGTAGATTTTCACAAACATATGCGCAATACGTATATAGTGAAAACAAAAGTTGCGCAATGCGTAAAGATGATATTTCGAGAATGTATCGAGGTATTATTGTATTAATGTATTTTTTTTTTCTCGAAAAGTTACATATTATAACTTTTTATATGGTGGTTTTGGTGTATTAGACCGCACTTGATGAAGATCTTGGGCTGAAAGAAGCGGAAAGAAGCGTAGAACGATCATTCACAAAGTCCTTTGATAACCCATTGACCAGAAAAAGTTTGAAAGGATGCGGTTTATCTTTCTACAGTTGTAAGTCCAAATTCATGATGCTTTTATTTCTTGTATGTCCAGCTGGTTATAACATTTTTTATCTATTTCACAGAACGAAAAATATTCCTGTTAAGCTATTGAAGGACCTTCTTAGTGAGGGCACTCTGACTGCCAACATTATTAGTCCAGTACTGCGCTCCTTCTTTCACGATGCTTCAATACATCCGGCCATTTGGCCCAACACTGCCAGTATAAGTAGCAAAATCTGTAAACTTGCCGATCTAGATCCCTCACGAGCAAAGCAACCAGATATGATCAGAAATGTTGTGAATAACAACAAATCCAAATACGAAATTATGTTTGGTGAGATAACAGGAGAAGGAAAAAACAACAATGAAAAGAAAAACAACTTGGATCTTATCAGGCTAGGCATTTTCATGAAGGATGCTCTTGATCTTCTCATTAAGAAGACAGGGGAAGATCATATGATTTTTGCGTGGCAAACAATAAGTAAGTGTTCATTTCATAATCATTATAATGTTTCTGAATTTTTTTGTGTACTCACGTATATATGGCATGGTAGTGACAATATGGACGGGTTATATCATGGTTTTGACCGCTTCAGGACTCTATATTATGTTCGATACTGGTGAAACTGAACTTCCAAAGTCCTTTTAAACCTGCGGACAATTCATTAATGTCATTGACAATTTGTTCACATTCACTGTATGCTTAAATTAACATTTTCGATATTCTTTTCTGACTTATTATTCTTAAAACTAACCAGTGACATTTGTTGCGAATCCCAGGAAAAATACGAGAATGAAGTGCAAAGGCTTCGTGATTATATTAACAAAAAGAAAGAAAATGGTAATGTTCTTGTAGAAATCATAAATAGGTTGAGAGCTACGTTGAGAACACCGCAGTTTAAAGAAATAGTTAAACGTAAATAATGATGTATTAGTGTTTGAATAGAAATTTAATAATAATAATATCGTTTCTTTACTGTGCTTGTGATATTCATTCTTATGAAAAAAAACCATTTTTTAATATTGTAATTTATCCCGAACTTACTTAATAAAATAATATTAAGATTTCGCTTACATACTGTATATTATATATATTATATGTAATATAACATGAAATTTCTTACTGGAATTGCAAAAAGGCGGATCAAGCCCTATTCATCCAATTTTAAGGGCGTGTCCCAACCTAATCTAATTGCGAGAGGATCATCAGTTGCCTTAGTAAAATCGAAGACCACAAAATCCCGATCTCGCAAATGTTTGTCAATAATCTTAGATTTTTTTTTGGATCATCCGTATATTGACGCACAATTCTGCATATGTCTTCTCGAGATCCACTCCCTCGAAACATAACTAGATGGCTCAGATTTTCACGAATTATCTTTGGCACGGCTTGATATTTTTGGGTCACATATATTGGTGAGATATTTTGATGCCGTTCACTAATAAAATAAGGGATGATGCGTTCCTGAATCTTCTTTGATTCAGCACAAAGATCTTCAAATACAACAACTGTACTTTAATCTGGAGAGAATTTAGTTATATCGGGAATCTTATCAGGTGTTATTCTTTTAAATGTGACATCCTCTCGATATGGTTTTGGGCTATTCGCAAAAATCTGAAAGCTGGTTTGTACTAGTTGCCACTTTAGCTCAGAGTGCTTTCCTACCAATCATTCTTAATATACCGCTCCCCTTTTTTTCCATTAAACATGCGCTAAAGTTTATTACCGAGCATAAGATTTACCATATTCGTTTTTCCGCTATGAGACCCTCCACAGACTAGAAGACGAAAAGGCCAATCCGGCGCAAATCCATTAGATTTCATATGCTTCAAAGATTCTTTGGGTATCTCATCAATGGCGTATACGTATATAGGCATGCTCTTCTCTTTCATTCTAATTAAACTAAGTAACATTAAATTATTATATCGAAAAAATAAGAATTTTAGTGAAACACAAACATTTAAAGTTTTATCTTATTCTATAAGACCCAATTCTCGAAGATGCTTTGGAATAACTATGTATGGGTCTTCGTAATACCAGACATACCTTAGGACAATCGGATTTTCTTCACATAATTTTTTCTTGAGTTGATCCCGTACTTGCTGTCTGATAAAATTATTAGGATCATCTCTATGAAAGAATTTTATATATTTTCATGTTGTTCTCCCTGCACTTCGATTGCAAAAGCATAGTGGTAATAAGGAATATCAAGTTCCAATCCTCTCAGATGTTCTAATGTTTTAGAAAATCGGGTTTACGATTTTTTGAGGGTGGTCCTAAATATTTTGATATGATCTCACAGCATAAATTCTCACGCTTAAAATATGAACACAGTGAGCACCAACCTCCTCTTAAAATAGTCTTCCCATATGTGAGATTTTTCGCAATGCCAAAGAAGCTTTGTATATGCATCGTAATATCGTTCTGAAAGACAGTCTCCATTATTTTTTGTGCTAGAATTTTCATATCAGAAATAGTCCGATTTCGTCCACCACAGATAGGACACCATTGGTGATGTTTATTTTATTTAAATTCGTAGTCCATATATGACTCTTGTCACATTTTCATTGTAAAGGTGTTTTATTATTTAAGATAGGCAATCCCCATTTTTGGTATGTGCCAGAGACTTTGCTGTCTCAATACTATGACGATTGCATTCAGGACACCATGCATTTTTATTTTTTACACAATCAAGACTTGCGAGCCATTTATGACCTATAGAACATTGCCATAATAAAGACTGACAACCATTGAGATATTTTTCAGACCATTTTTTATAGACGCAATTTGGTTAGCTTTTTCAAGGGTAAGTCATTTATTGCCTGATACCATGTATTAAGATTTTTAATTCTGTGAAGTTTTGCAGACCATTTATGACCTTTATTACATTTCCAGATTAAAGGGGTATAACTATTAATATATTCTTGGGAAAGACACTCTCTACCTTTATTGATAGCAATTTGCTTAACGTCTTCAAGAGTAATCCTGTGTCCCGCACAATAAGGGCATCATGAATTAAGATTTTTAATACTATAAAATCTGGCATGCGATTCATGACCTTTTGCATAACGTCATAATAAAACTGATTTACTATTATCAAATTTTTCAGAAAGACATTCACCACCCCTACTAATAGCAATTTGTTTAGCATCCTATAGCACAGCACCATAATAATGGTGAATTGCTATTTATATACTTTTCAGAAAGACAGTCACCATTTCTATAATGTGCGATTCATTTGGCCTTTTCAATTGAATGATGGCAATTAGGGGCACACTGTGGACACTATGAGTTTTTCCATTTTATATTAGTAAGATAGGAAAACCATTCATAATCCATAGCACAACGCCATAATAAAGGTGAATGATCATTAATATACTTATCTGAAAGACACAGACCTCCTCGCTCTATAGCAATATTACAAGCAATTTCTAAAGATAATTTAGGTGACATTGTTTTCTTAAGTATATTTTTCCTTTAAATTAAGTTAGTAGCCGATCAATAGCAAATCATTATTCTTGATATAGTGTGTTCCTTCCTTCTTTCTATTAAACATTTGATAAAGCTTATTTCTGAACATAAGGTTAAGAATTTCATTAGTTTTTCCCAAATTGGTACGGCCAGTGATTAGAAGTGTGAAAAGTTATTGGAGAACACTCAAATGTTCGCAAAATTTTTGGGCATCTTTAATCTCATTGATGTGATATACGAGCCTATCAACTGGCTCAAGTTTATTTATTTTCATGTCAAATGAAGTATTATTAATAATGTACTAAAAATAATCCCTTTTAATTCTTCACCTCTTTCAAGAACCCTTTCTTGATTAGAGTATGTCTGATATAGGACAGGAGATCATCGGTATAGGAACTTCGATAAGGCATATACCTTGGTCCTTACATATATCCCTCTTCTTCTGATCACGCATATTTTGCAATTTTAGATTTTCATTCTCACGGTGATAGAAACTATTGTGACGATAGTATTGAAAACCCTGGAATTCGAATGCAAGATGCAATTTCTCATTATATCCATCCAAGTGTAACCTATCTAAGAATTTAGCCCTACATAGTGGGAATTTCTTGCCTAGCAAATCCTCAAAAATATATCTGTTTTCATTTGAATGATGACATAAAGGACATCATTCAAACTTCTTCATGATATATTTTAGTAGATACTTCCACTGATGTGCATCATTTTCACAAGACTAAAGATATATATTATGATCATTTATTCGTTCAGTCTTTTCCAGACATTAATCACTACATCTTCTGGCAAAATCAATAGCTTGATCTAGTTCCCTTTAGGAAACATAAGTGATATGCACAGACAATATGCTTTGAGGTGAATACCTAACTTTTTCTGGATCAGCTATTAACATGAGCTCTTTTCATATAAATTTGCAAGATGACGCATATTCTTTATCGAGATAATATAAAACTGGTTCATTTTTTATAACAACTTTTTGAATTTTATGAATAGAAGGTGAGAAAGTGAGATCAGTTGCCTTTTTTGATTTTTCATACCTCCTTCCCATTTTGTATTAGTAAAAAGATAGCGAACAGTATCGCTTTTCTTTAACATTGTTTCATCTTTTCCAACTGGACGCTTATATTTTGCAGATAGACTTGGCTCAAGTCCCTACTTTTCTGATCCTAGTTCTCAAATAAGATGCATAGAATAGTTATTCAAATAATCAATAGCTTCCGGTAAATACCTAACCCATACTCTTATTAATCTTGAATCAGAAGATATAGACTCAACAGCATACTGGATCTTATATAGAATTTTTGAGAGAGTCTTATTGAAATGCTTTACAAATGCAACTCTTCTGTGACTATATAGGCTGACTACTCAAATTGTAACATTATACTCTTGCATTAGACAGGAAGTCTCGCCCATAAATTCACAACCTCTATCACATTGCAGAAGCTTTAACCAGGTCAATGGATTATTTTAAGTACCATATACCTTCCTAAATGCTTTAGCAACTTCTGAGCTATTCTTCAATGTGAGCAGAACAGAAGCTTTATATCAGAAAGTACAGTCTATAATGTTAAGTACTGCTTTATATTTTTTACCTCTATAGTAATTATGAGTGAGAAATAGTATATCATACTGGCGTACATCAGTGTGTAAAATCTATGTATATAATGTACACATGTATACATTAATTTTTTGTGTACACATATTACACAACATAAAATGTGCACAAATTATTACTAAAAATAGATAAATTATTTATAAAAAAGTTAATTTTACATAAGAAAATATTATGATTTTCTTATTTTAGTAATAATTAATCAATTTGTGCACATAAATTTTAACTTAGATTTTATACACTGGTGCAGTATTGTTATGTGACGTGAATATGAACATAGACCAGATCAGACCAAACTGTCCATATCCATGTCTGAGATTTTTTTATATCTGGGACTTTTTGTCCGCATTAATGCTGGCCATATCTCTTGTTAATTCTGGCCAAAAGATATCTAATAACGGTCTATATCCCAACTGTCCTGCGGACACAGTCCTGAACATGGATTTTAGACGTCTCGTATTTGCCAAAAATTACCAGGATAACGTCCGTGTACAACACTACACTAGTGTACACAATTGGAGCGTATTTTTCGCCCATAGCTGACTCTAGTGATATATTTTGAAGAGGTTTTATTAGTTTGGTATGACTCTTGATTCTCTAAAAAATCTTTGCATTTACTTAGGCAAAATCAATGCCCTTCTTTTTTACATTCCTTTCTCAAAGATTTAAGGTTGGAATTAAAGATAGGAACTATAATTAATATGTTGCAACTTTTAATGTTACAACTTACGTTGCAATTAGTTTTAACCTAT